CGGCGTGGCGCGTCCAGACTGCCCCAATCTGCCGACAAACAGCTGATCGGCAGAGTGGGGCAGCCATTTAAATTTAAATGAAGCCGCGATTATTTTAATCGCGGCTTCATTTCCCTCTGCCGATCTGGCTAATCTACATGCCTCCATCGACGGAGGCATGTAGTTTAGACGTACCCTAAGTGCCCTCTTGGAGGAATGGGGAATGTTCTCATTGAGGACGAGAACTAAGAGGAAAAGAAATGCCTTCAAGTGCTTAAATTCATGACTGCGAGACACCCCAGTTCATGGCCTCCACGGAGACCTTGGATTTCTGGCTTGTTTCAACGATCTCTAACCCTCCAGAGGTTATGTGCTGGCCCCCTTCATCCTGAACAGTCACTTGAAATGTGTGTCAAGTCCTTGCTCTAGATAATCACCTCCACTTTGGATGGAGCTGGGACACCCCAGGAAATGTCCCCACCCAAGCTGAGCCATGTGTAGCTAGAAGGAGACTTTCCACCCAATTTCCTTCTAACCAGTATGGCCAGATGGTGATATGACTTTCTATTGAACCCCACACACTGGCTGTTAAGTCCTCAGCAAGGGCTCGGGGCTGTAGTCCCCGAGCCATGAAGTGACCACAGCCAGGCGAGAGGGTCCCCTCCCTGTTGACCCCAGCATGGAGCTGGGGGGCTTTGGGCAGGTGCTGGCGGAGATGTAGCCAACATGTTTGGCTCCTAGGTGTAGACTACGGGGCTCCGTGCTCTGCCCCCACCCAGAGCAACATCCCTTCACTCCCATTGGCTGGGTATCGGCCAATGGGGACTAGAGGGTAGCGCACCACAAAGCCTCATGCCCCCTCCAGGAGATGCCCAGGGAAACCTGAGTCCCAAATCCCTGCCCCATCCTGAGTCCCTCCCCAAACCTGGACCTCCTTCACCCTAAACCTCTCATCTCTGTCCCTGCCCCCAAACACTCAGCCCCAGAATAAATCCGGTATCTCCTGCTGCACCCCAAGCCAGAACCTGCACCTCCCCGCCTCACACCACAGTCCTGAGCTCTTCCCCAAATCTGAAGCCCCCTTGGGCACCCTAAACTCCTCATCTCCAGTCCCTCACGGGAGCCTACCTCCCCCCCCAGCCGGAGCCCTCCCACACCCCAACTACCTGTGCCCCATCAAAATCTTGGTCTCCACCCCCACCACCCACCTACAGATTGATGTGAGTGATGTGGTACGGCACCTCCATCGTGGGGCACATGGGGGTCTCTAGGAATGAAAGTCTGGAATGAAACCTCCAGGAATACTTCCAACCCAAAGGGGGGATCTAGACACCACAGGGTGTTCCTGGCACCCACAGATGTTGCTCCAAACAAAGACATCACCCCACACACCTTTTGCCTCTAGGTCAACACAGCTCGGAGAAGGCAGCAGAGGTAGGAGACTCAAGGGGGTGGGGGATGGAGAAGGGAACACAAAAACTCGAGGAAGCCGCGACATACCCAGTACTCGAATGTAGACGGAGGAGCTCTTCTCAGATGGGGCTTCTTTCCCGGATACCTCCCTCCTGTAGGCGCAGCTGTACTCCCCGGCGGTAGACTGGTTAGCCGTGAGATGGAGCCACGCTTCTCTGTAGGCTTTGTGGGGCTTCATGGAGAGCGGCTTCCCCCCACTTGGGTCAAAGAACTCGAAACTTGTCACGCCTTCGGCCCCCCGAGCTGAGCACCGGAGGGTGAGCTGCTCGCCCTCAACAAACTGTCGGAGTAGGGGGTGCAGAGAGAGTTTGGGGGCTGATAGACGGGCTGGAATGGAAATGGGGATTACTGCAGAGGGGGAGATATCCAGGGAGAGAGGGAGAAGACATGGGGGGATGAGACCCGGATCCAGACCTCACCCATCCCATCCTGCCCCCAAGCTCTACGACAGATACAGCACCTTCAGCCACCTCTCGCCTTTACCTGAAGGAGACACCGGGCTGGGAAACATCTGGAGAGCAGCTGAAAAAGGGGAAAGAGGGAGTGAAAACTCAGGAAAAGAAAGAAAGAAAGAAAGAAAGAAAGAAAGAAAAGGCAGAGGTCACTCACCTAGCGCAAGCAGGAGTCTCAGTACCATGATGAGCTGGTTCCTCTGCTGTGAGAATATGGGTTCTCTGCCTAACTCATGCGCCTCTGTCAGTTTGGGGCTATATTAAGCATTTCCTATCCCCTGGCTTATCAGATGCACAATACCCCTCCCAGACTGATTTTCATGGTTCAGATTGTACAAAAAAGGGACTTGAGGGCTGGTCTTATCTCGGCATCTACCCACTTTATTTCTAATACCACCTCTTCTTTCTTTCTTTCTTTCTTTCTTTCTTTCTTTCTTTCTTTCTTTCTTTCTTTCTTACTCAGGAGTGGCACCAAAAGCACACTAATCACGCCTTTCTACCGCCGCCCTGCTGGCCCCTCTTCACTCCTCTCTACCGCCATCCTGCTGGCCCCTCTTCACTCCTCTCTACTGCTGGCCCCTCTTCACTCCTCTCTACTGCCGCCCTGCTGGCCCCTCTTCACTCCTCTCTACCGCCACCCTGCTGGCCTCTCTTCACTCCTCTCTACTGCCACCCTGCTGGCCCCTCTTCACTCCTCTCTACCGCCATCCTGCTGGCCTCTCTTCACTCCTCTCTACCGCCATCCTG